CAAGGCGCAGAGGAATTATTCGGTAACGGAGCAAGAATGCTTAGCAGCCATGGTGGCAATTAAAAGTTTTCGACCATATGTTGAGGGCCATGAGTTCACGGTCATAACGGACCACGCTTCATTAAAATGGCTAATGTCTCAAACGGATCTGAGCACTAGGCTGGCAAGGTGGGCTTTGAGATTGCAGGGCTATACATTTAAAATACAGCACCGGAAAGGAAAGTTGAATGTTGTACCAGATAGCAGCAATAGATCTGAAAAATGGACTCATTATCGACCTAAAATCTGACTATTTTAAATCGGAAAAATATATTGAACTAGGCGAACGCATAAAAGGGATGCAGGACAAATTACCGGATTTAAAAGTTGAAGATGGTTTAATTTATCGTCGTGCTGAACATCTAACTGGAGACCAAATGCATGATGAGTATGCCTGGAAGCTCTGGGGGCCGTCGGAACTAATTAAGGAAGTTATGTTTAATGCTCACAACAGTCCTTTGGCTGCGCATGGTGGCATACATAAAACGTTAGAGCGTGTGAGGCGGTACTACTTTTGGCCAGGCTTGGTAAATGACGTTAGAACATACATAAATGCTTGTGAGGTTTGTAAGTCTTCAAAGGCGCCCAACCAAATACTAAGGCCACCCATGGGAAATTCGCCAGAATCGCACAGATTTTTCCAAAGGCTTTATATAGACTTCCTGTGGCCATACCCCCGATCCCGTAGTGGTCATATAGGCATATTTATTGTTTTAGACCACTTTTCAAAGTACGTCTTTCTAAAACCAGTCAAACAAATTTCTGCGGATGTGGTAATTAAATACCTAGAAGACGATTTGTTTCTCACGTACGGAGTACCTGAAACGATTGTTTCAGATAATGGGTCTCAGTTTAGAGCAGTTTCTTTTCAAAACTTGTTGCAGCGGTTCCAAATAACGCACATGTTGACAGCAGTACACGCTCCCCAAGCTAATGCAGCCGCGCGAGTGAATCGTTCTGTAATAGCAGCATTTAGATCTTATGTGAGGCCTGATCAGAAGGACTGGGATGAGTATCTAAGCCAAATTTGTTGTGCCTTACGGTCGGCTGTACACTCTGGTATCGGAGTAACACCATATTATATGGTTTTTGGGCAGCACATGGTCAATTGTGGGTTAACGTATTCATTATTACGCAAATTGGGGCTGCTCGAAGACCGCTCGCTGATGCTCGATCGCAATGACTCACGTGAACTTGTGTGGGAAAAAGCGAATATAAACAGGCAGAATAAGCATGATAGGAATAAAAGACAATACGATTTGAGGGCCACAAAAGTACTATATCAAGTGGGTCAAGAAATCTTTCGACGGAACTTTAAGGCCAGTAACTTCGAAAACCGGCTTTAATGCTAAATTTGGGCCACGTTTTGTAAAAGCCCGGGTGCGTAAAAAGCTGGGAAATTCAATTTATGAGCTTGAGGATATGCAAGGTCGCAGTATAGGCAAATACCATGCCAAAGATATTCGGCAGTAGCAAATCGTGCAGCTACAAGCGGTATCAGCCTTTGGGTCGAACCATCCCCTAGTCTGATCTTGGCAGGGGGGATTTGTAGTGGCGCTTGTAGCTATATTTCTCATTAAGGCGTAGTTTGAGAAGCGCTGGGCTTAATACCGCCACCTAGCTGACGATAGCGTAATTTGCTGTGGGTTGCAATGGGAGTTGGATGTGTTGCAAAGGGAGAAAGCCTCTCTCTGGAATTTCTAAATTCCCCAGACGCTGTCCCATCATAGTAAGGCCGCCATCACAATTTCAGTGGAGTTGAAGCCGTGAAACGTGAAAGTGCAGTTTCTATTTGTAATCCTAAAATGGTTTCAAATTTAACCAAATTTCAAAATTTACTTCGTTAACCTACGTGGTGTAAATATTGTTGTTTAAGTGCCAACGTAGCGAATTTAAATTGGAACGAGGAAAATTTAATATTTTTCTTTACCTGCGCCAAGGACAAGGGGTAAGATTTTAATGCAGCGGTTACAGTGTAGGCAGTCCATATAAGTACAAAATTGGTTACAGGACTTGGTGCGTAATACCAAACAAATTTTATTGGGGGGCGGCAGCAGTTAATATTGCAAAAAAAAAACAAATTCCGAAGAAGCGACTCGCAGTGGCTCAATTCCCTGAATTTGAATTTGCCCGCGCATGAGCAGCGGACTTTGAACCTCATTTGAGTAAACGGTGGGAGGAACAAAAGAGCGCAACCACTTAGCGGCACCGGCGTACGGAAAGAATAGCGACATTGCCGAATTAGTGCAAGTGCAGCGTTACCGCCGGCAAACCGCCGCATATTTGTCGGTCCGCGACTAAGCGGAAATAGTGTTTAAGTTATAGTGTTAGTTTTTTTTGTTCAACGAAAGAATAATGCACTACGTGTATTTATATATATAAGTAATCTAATGATTCTTTTTTTATTATTAATGTTATTTTTTTTCTTTTTTTTTCTCCGTCACATAATTCTGCTATGCGAAGGCAGAGGTAAATTGTGCTTAGTTTTTTTTGTGTTAAATTATTTTTGTTGTTGTGAGTGAATTTTCAGTTAGGCATAACTTAATGCCACATATTTAGCCCACCGCCCAAATGGAAGCGCTTTCATCACCGGCTAGGAGTGGGGTAAGTTTGTAACTTGTAATTTTTATCCAAACGCATTTATTAATGTGCAAGCTTCTGCGCTAAGCAACGTCAAGCCAGAAATAAATATTTAAAACGGCATTAATTTACTCCCTGCTTGTGTGCCTTCGCATCGGAAGAGCTAAATAGAGAGCGAATAGTTTTTGAAAGAGTACTGCTCTCACGCGGATAATGTCCAGTTATTCTGATCGATTGCGTTAATTCTTGCAATTATAAAACTTCTCTTAAGTTTTTTTTTCATATTTTCTTTCATACTTCTTTTTGCATAAGCAATAATAAAATACAGCTTGAGCATAAGACACAGCTGTTCTAAAATCTATTTATTTGTACTTATGCCATATGATTTGTTTGTCTGATTATTAGCTATTAAGTAACGATGGAATAAATATAAGTAAACATTGAACTCATGCTGGCCAACGCTTCTGTGTAGGGTTTAAAAAAAAGGGGTCATCCGTATATTAATAACATGTTTTCAGCTTGGCAATGATGACCATGGTTGGGTGGGCGAATTTTATCCACAAGCACAGCAGTGGTTATAGCATATCGCACATAAACGCCGTCTTCAACCTATTCTATCCCATATATACTTTATTATTCGGTCTGTCCCTAATTTTCTATAAGCTAGCAACTAGCACGCTCCCTTTATTTTTTTAATATTGTAATGTAATAGTTAGAGTAGCACCCGACATATTTATTTCTGAGCTGGATGGATTCCCACCCCAAAGCCGACGAGCTAGAGCCGGAAAACTGAGCGTGCGCCAGTCTCAGACAGTTAAACAGTCCTTGGTAGCCGCTGAGCAAGCGATTAGACGTTACACGCTACACTGTTGCGCTGCTGCTGCTGCGGCTGATGACGGTGCCGCTGATGATGCAGCCGTAGCCGACGCTGGTACGGGCTGTCGATGGTGTTGCCGGTGCTTTGCGCTTTGGGCTGCTGGTGCTGTTGCGCTGCGGCTGATGACGGTGCTGCTGGTGCTGCCGTTGCCACTATGGCTGCTGGCTTTGGCACGCTGACGGCTTCCGAACGCTGCTGTTGGTGCGGCTACTACGATGAAGTTAGCGCTAGCGCTTATTGTGACGCCATCAATGTTGCGCCGGTGCTGCTTCTGCCAATATACACACCGTTCCCACGCGGACCTTTTATCCGCGCGATGTATGGCAATAATCCCTACACCATTGAACAATTAAGAGCTTTAGACATCCGGTAGGTACATTTTTGCATATTCATATATGTATATATACTTGCATACTCTTATATATGTATATATATTTTCATATTTGCATTACTTATATGCATATATAATTTTTTTGTCGTGCTCACCTTGGAACTGCTTCTGGTTTCTACATATGTATATTTTCGTGGTTACACGTCCTTTTCTTATTGAGGTCGACGCCTCGTTGGTCTGAACGGTCGCCCCAAAATCAGGCTTGTTGTGGCTTGCCTTATATAGGCCGGATATCGTGCGTCTGTGGATTTCTTTGTCCCTTTTGCAACCGTCCGTCGCGGCCTTGATGTTTCACTATTTTGTGGTGCTATCGGGACACAACCCGGCGCTGCTGCGAAATTTCGTCGCCTCCCGCAGCGCTGGCACTTTGATTTTTTTTTACTGTGACCAACCCAATGCAACACCCTGCACTTCCACAACATTTTCGCGCTAACAGCCGAAGTAATTACGACAGAAAAAAGCAAAAAAAAACAAAAATTGCTGTAAAAATAATAATATTAATATATGATACTTGTATATATCAACTTTTCCATTTAAATCCTTCCGTTACTATCTTTAAGGCAAAATACGCTAAATTGTATTACTAAATTCATTCCAAACTAACTCTTTGATCAAACTGGAACGTTTTCAAAATTCCACAAAGGTTAAAAGTGTAAGGCCTCAGTTACACTGTACTGTACTATTTCAGCTAGAGTTATCGACCCTTGACATTTGTATCGAAAATCGGCTGTTTTGCATCAGTAAGTATTTTAAAATAACATATCAATGCTCTTGTATGGTCTTTATTTGCGAATAACACAATGGCATATTTACAATTTTTCTTTCGAAAAAACGACAAGGTATACTTTTTTTATTATATTTTTTATGTTAATGAACAAAACCATAAACAGCTGATTCGTAAGGCGGTTTTTTAAGAATCACGTGAATTAGGGATTTCGTTTTTACAAACGATACGTTCTTGGTATAATGCTATGCATTTCAAAATTGTTCATAATATACATAATACATATACATACATAATACATATATCGACTTTTAATTAATTCGATTATTTTTCAAGAGCCCTAATGATTATTAGCAACTCGTTTCTTACTGCAATCTTAAACTCGTGACAAATTTATAGTCAAATATAACAAAAATCAGCATAACAAAACGCGTGATCCACATATATATACATTTAATACAACGGACATAGACAAAATTAAACATTTTTGTAAGTTTGAAAAGCACGCAGTGTCATTTGTATATATGTATGTATGTATTTATAGCTGGGCATGACGCTCCAGGCAGACACTGTGTGTGATGATTAATGCGAGCGATTTCACTATACTCAACCCGTTTTCTATAATTTTTAAACCTATAACTTATTATTAAAGTTTTGTGCATAAAATTGGTTAGATATATGTACATATGTATGTACATAAATTTATATGGATATGTAGATATGTATGTACATACATACATACGTGAGATTTGAAGGGCTTTGTATAGGCTCAAAAACCTTCACAACCAATAAAGGTGTTCACAATTTTCGAAATAACTTTTGGAATGCACAATTCTTTCCTTGATCGATACGACTTGACTTGGGGAAAATGTTTAAATGAAATTGGTTTAAATTTCTAGTTATCCATTAATGCGTACAAATGGTTTTATTGCTGCTCAACCATGCGGAAGACATCTTTTTGACCATGAACGAATATCTCCAATTACTGCACGTGTCACAATTCCATCCGTGCTTTCAATTTTTGATTAATACAAGAGCTGCTATTTCGTCATTACCATTCGGTATGTGACCGGCAAAGACATAAATTATCTTTGATGTCACTCACTTCGAATAGCACCTGAAGAGATCTGGACGGCCATAATTGTGAATATTCGACACCACATCCTGCGCGCGCTCATGCATATGGTGGATCAAATATCGCCTAATTAAATTAAATTCAAAAGTTCGATCTTTACCTACATGTCAACCACATTCATCAAAAAATTTGACACAGTTCAAAATTAATGTTCTTGTGGACGAATGATGAACCTGTGCATATAATTTAATTTAAGCTTGTACATTTTATAACTTAATCTAATTTGAATTTATGTGATTTTGCAAATTGCAGTGGATTGACATCGAAAATCACTTATTTGCCAGTCATATTCCAAATTGTCGCCATGACTTAGCTGCACCTGTATTCACGCAAATACTGAAAGCTTAATGAACTCATTTAAGTGGGAGGTCTTCCGCATGTACTCCCAATAATTTGGTAGGTTCTTAACATAATAATACTAAAACAATTTAGTATATTGATTTATCTTATTTATAGAACACGTAAAAGCGCAGACTTTTAGCCAAGTTTTCCAAGACCTTGGTTTTGGTTTCTGGCTCTATTTAACGATTGGCTTGCTTGATATTTGCCTTGGGCGCCTTCATTGATAACGTGATTGAAAGAGCTGTCACTGTCAAAATGAGCGATTAAACAAGAAAGCAATGCTAGAATCATGTGGGCTCAACCCCCACAAACACAAACAATTTTTTTACCCTGTACCCGTAGGGTAAAAAGGGTATATTGAAGGCAGAAGAAAGTATCTCCGACCCAATCTCTATATATATAAAACAGTTTGTCCTGACTGACTGATTCGCGATCAACGTACAGCAACGTGGACTCAAGTATCCTTTCTTAGTGTAGGTGCCCACTAAGAAGCGATTTTGCAAAATTCGAGCTCCAAAGGGGGGAAATCGAGCTCCAAAGTTTGTATGAAAAATCTACAATTTTCATCTGTTTAACTTTAAACTTATTTTGTATACTCTCAGAAAAATTACAAGAAAAACTGTATACTAGGTTTCTTTTTTTTTGGGGACTGAAACATGGGAGTTTTCTTGTAAAAAAAAAATGGGGCACAAAAGGAGACCGCGTCAACAGCCCACAGCCCAAACGGTAAGAGCTGAAATTTGGGCTCGAGGATCCTATCATAGTGAAGGTGCCCACTAAGAAGGGATTTTGGAAAATTCTAGCTCCAAAGAGGGGGAAACGAGCTCCAAAGTTTGTTTAAAAATTCTGCATTTCTGCACCGATCAACTTTAAATTTAATTTGTATAATCTATAAAAGAATACAAACCAAACTGCATACTCGGATTTTGTGGAATTTGTGGTAAAGCTTGAATTATTGGGGTTTTAATATTTATTCACCTTTTCAAATGAAAAGTTTGTGTTATAAATTTTTATCCGATCGATTTCAAATTTGGCGACTGTAATCTACGTAACTAAATCTATAACTTTGCGTTCAAGGATTTTCAAAATATGCATTCTACAAATGCAGGCAGAACAAACAATACAAAATATCAAACAGTTGGGGACAACTAAGTATACATACATACACACACACATACAAGCAGCTGTTCGTTTAGTTGCGTGCAAACGATTAAAATAGCCAAAGCAAAATGTGAGACACTAATGTGTGAATGTATATGCATATGTACACATCTATGTACATGTACACATCTATGTAGACATGTACACATCTATGTACATGTACACATCTATGTATGTATGTATGTTCATTCGTCTTGCACTGACAGAGCCTGAAATGTTAATTAATTAAAAATTATTTAACATTTTTAAAAGTAATATTTTCTTTGTTTAGTACATTTGGCATTACGGTTTTCATTAGTAACTTTAAGCAGCAACAACAAATTACAAAGAACGCAAATATCAAATAGTTGGGGACATCATATACACACACTCACACACAGAACAAGCAACAGTTCGTGTCTATGTATGAAAAAGTAAAGAGAAACATGCATGCATATATGCATACATATTTATGTATGCCTGTGTACGTCCATATATATGTACAATCGTATGTATGTAAGTACGTATACATTGGACAATCGAGCACTGATTGTAATAAATAATGTTCTATGGTTTCAAGTCAAATTTTTAAAACGAAAAACAACAACAACTGCAAGTCATTGGCTCGCGCTTCTTCTTTCGTTTTGATCATTTACGCCTGTTAATTTCAAAGGCAAAATGCCAAAAGTTTACAGTTACCGTCGCTAGGCAACGACTGCGTAAGCGATATTAAAGCAGAAACCGAAAGCGGAACTACGCATATTTTGCTTCGCGTTGCGGGCAGGTGTACATATGTATGTTTGTATATGATTTGTTCTAATTGATCTCAATAAATTATAAGATGTTATTATTTAAATTTTATGTTAATTTCATTCAAACTTCGATGGAATTATTGATTGTTTCGACGGATTCAACTATCGATAGTTTTGATGCTCTAGTACATAGAGCATCCGGCACATGCCCATCTCAGCTGATCGCATATTTACAGCGACTTACCGTTTTAGCGTCAGTCACTGACCACTGCATCCCAGAGGAGTATCCACATACTCCATTTCACACCATCATTCTCTCTAGGGAAGATTGGAACTTCGGCCCGCCAGGCCCAACCAATTCCATCAAAATATATACAGACTGTTCTAAGTGTGGATAACCACGTAGGCGGGGGTGTCTTCTGCGAAGAACTCGGCATCAGAAAAGCCTTCAGGCTACCGGATCACTACAGTGCGTTCCAGGCGGAAATCATAGCCATTCAAGAAGCTCTTCTTATACTGCCAAGCCCAGCCACTCATATCAGGGAAATCTGCATATACTCGGATAGCCAAGCGGCTATAAAATCCCTTAATGCCATCACATCGAACTCGATGTCAGTACAGAACTGCCGCATATCTCTTCACGAGATGGCAACACAGTTCTCAATATACCTCATTTGGGTCCCAGGCCATAGGGATATCGAGGGAAACTGCATAGCCGACGAGTTGGCAAGACACGGTACCACCGCCTCCCTCCTTCCAGACAAGGAGAGCGTCGGTACACCGATGGCCAGCTGTAAACTGTCAGTTCGAAACCACTTTGATTCGGTCGCTAATCAAATGTGGACCACCGACACAGACTCCTGTAAAATCACACGCCAAACGTGGCCAATCCTCAACAAGAGACGATCTTCAGAACTCTGTAAGCTGAACAGAAGCCAATGCTCAGTTGTAATCAGAGCCATCACAGGGCACTGGCTGGTGGGCACCCATGCCGCCATACTAGGACTCTATCACAACGATTTCTGCAAAAGCTGCAGAGAAGTGGAAGAGGAGGAAACTGTAACCCACCTCTTCTGCAACTGCCCGGCTTTGCCAAGGACAAGACAACGCTTCCTAGGAGCCAGCCTCCTCCCAAATCTATCGGTACTAGCAAACAGGAAGCCGATAAACATTTTCAAGTTCATCCAGGCAGCTGGATGGACGTAATACTCGCGCAGACATGCAGCCAAACACGGGCATTTGGGAAGTGGACTTGTCCATGCGGTATCACAACGGGCCAATTTCTAGGGCTTAAGTGAGTAGGGGTGTATACCCTGGCTGCCGCTCCGACCTACTTACCTACCGTTTTAGTGTTAGCTAACAATGCTACAAATATACTCTGAACAAATCTAAGAGTCATTTATCGTTAAGCCTATTTTGTGAGTTTACAAAAGCAGAAACACACCTTTTACATTCACAACAATCATATTTGGAATTGAAGACACAAATTAGTGTTGAATTAAAAAATTTAATACATACTTATTTACATACTAGCAGGTATTGCCCGTCTTAACCCGGCTCAATATAATGTTTCCAATTGTATTTATTTTGTGTGTGCATAACCTACCCATATGTTTTCACCTTATAAGTTACCAGTAGGAAGGCATTTAAGGTTGAAAATTTATATTATTTTATATAAATTATTAAAAACAAAGAAAGAATGGGACGCTTGCTTTTAACTTTTTAATGCGGAAAATGCGAACGATTTGGCGACAATTGTGCTTATATTTAGTTCTATTTTACAACTGACTTCAAATTAGGCTTACATGCTAAACTAATCCTAAGGCGGCGAAAAAAGGGCGCGAGGCGACGTCCGCAAACGGCCGCTCTCGCGCTCTCTTTTCGCCCTAAACTAAAATTCAAATAATTCTCTTAAACTATCTTAATCTAAAGCAGCATCTGCGCCAACACCGGCCCCCTTGGAGGGACATCGTCCTTCAACGGGCAATGGCGCCAGCCGATGAATAGCCCTCCGTAGATTGCCACTACTCGTGGCGACGTCGGCCACCCGCACCTTCCCGTCTGTCCCGGCGTGAGTTGTGGTGACCCTGCCAAGTATCCACTTTTGTGGCGGCACGTTGTCTTCGGCCACCACGACGAGTTGTCCCACGACGACGTTGGGTTCCTCCTGGAACCACTTCGCTCGCACCTGGAGGCTCGAAATGTACTCCCGGGACCATCGCTGCCAAAACCTGTGCTTGAGACACGAGGCATTGCGCCATCGCCTTAAGCAGGTTTGGCTGTCGATGTCCGGGAGCGGTGGAGCTGGAGTCGCCAGAAGAGGCCGTCCGATTAGAAAGTGGCCCGGGGTTAGCGCCTCGCCGTCGCTGGGGTCCGCGCTGAGTGGTCCCAGTGGCCGAGAGTTCAGCACGGCCTCGACGCTCGCCAGGAGTGTTCCGAGCTCTTCTGCGGTCAGGAGCGCATTGCCCACCGTCCGTAGGAACAGGTGCTTTGCAGACTTGACACCTGCCTCCCATAGACCGCCGAAGTGAGGCGCTCTGGGTGGTATGTACGCAAACTCGCATCCTTTTCTTGATGCGAATTCGCGTACGCCTTCCGCCTCCTTTTCCCATCTTGCTCGGAACTCCTGCAGCTTCCTGTCGGCTCCCACGAAGTTCGTTGCGTTGTCGCAGTAAACTTTGCGAGGGACGCCTCTCCTGCCGACGAACCTTTCAAAAGCCAAGAGAAAAGCATCAGTGGTTAGATCTGACACAAGCTCTAAGTGAACCGCTTTCGAGGCAAAACAAACGAAAAGAGCCACGTACGACTTGTACGGTGGCTTGCCACGGATGCGGAGCGTTGTGCTTATAGGGCCACAAAAATCAACACCACATACTTCGAACGGGTGGAACGGCTGGAGCCTGTCTGCCGGAAGATTTCCCATTACTTGGGAGGCCAACCGGGGCTTCCATTTGAAGCAGAGGATGCACGAACGTACTGTTCGGCGACACACTTCCTGAGCGTTAACCAGCCAAACTCGCTCACGAAGCAGGCTCACCAGCGATCTAGGGCCATCATGGCAATTTGACACATGCAAATAAGATACGTACGATCTTATGAATTGCGACTTTTTAGACAGCAACAACGGAAACTTAGCTTCGTACGGGATAGGAGCATTTAATA